GCTAACCCCAGTCAGAGCTCCACGCTAACCCCAGTCAGAGCTCCACGCTAACCTCAGTCAGAGCTCCACGCTAACCCCAGTCAGAGCTCCACGCTAACCCCAGTCAGAGCTCCACGCTAATCCCAGTCAGAGCTCCATGCTAACCCCAGTCCACTGTCGAAAGAGCCTACAATGCGCACACAAGCAATGGAACAGGAACTAGGGTTAGTGGAAGAAGGTTGCCTGGTTGATGAATCATGAATACAGTCAGTTATGTGTCATGCATCTGCAAGGTGTGTTGGATTGACAAGTCCGATCTGCATCTATATAGCCCCATACACAGCAGGGCTGCGTTGTGTGTTTGTATTTTTATTAGAGTTTGCACAATATAATTTTTGTCTGGCCCAATCCCAGTGGTTTTTTTTTATGTTGAGTATCTGCCTAGGATACCTACAACAATCTGATATTTTTCCCCTCTATCAACTTCTAAGCATTAAATGAGATACAGTATGTGTATCAATATGTTTCAGTTAACATGGCAAACTATCTGCATTTAGTGTTATGGCGACACTTAGTACATGCTAAGAATAGGAAAATACACTATACAGTGGTACCTCAGAACTCGAACTTAATCCGTTCAGAACTCCGGATCAAATCCTAAAAAGTTCAAGTTCTGATTGAATTTTCCCCATAAGAAATAATGGAAAACCAATTAATTGGTTCCCGGCCCCAAAAAAATACACTGAAGTATGTTTTTTTTAGCATTTAAACACAAAATGAACAGGATAAAACAAGAAGAGCATATACTGTACTAAACAAATCTAAGCACATTTATCAAAACAGTAATTTGTAAAGTAAGAAAATAAATGTATCCAAACAATTTGTAAAGTTTAAAGTTTGTAAAACAATGTGTCTGCACTGTGCAAGAAGGGCCAGAGCCGCCTCTATTTTCTGAGGCGGTTGAGGTCTTTTAACATGTGTCAGACAATTCTCAGGATTTTCTATGAGTCTGTTGTGGCCAGTGTCATACTCTACGCTGTTGCATGCTGGGGCAGCAGGCTGAGGGTAGCGGATGCCAACAGACTCAACAAACCTCAGTTCTCAAACTCATTAAAACTCGAAGTCCCCAAGAGAGTCCCCAGGAGGAGTGCTCTCCAACACCCCTTCCAAGGACTCCAAAAAGGGTGGGTAAACCGACCTGCCGCTTGGTGCATAAGCACAAACAACAGGCAGGACCCGTCCCCCCACCCGAAGGCGAAGGGAGGCTACCCTCTCGTCCACTGAGGTTAACCCCAATGTACAGGGGGCAATAAGTATGCCCACTCCTGCTCAGCGCCTCTCCCTGCGGGCAAGAAGGTCCAACCCCCCTCAAGGAGACTGGTTCCAGAGCCCAAGCCATGCATCGAGGTGAGCCTGACTATATCTAGCCGGAACTTCACAACCTCGCGCACCAGCTCAAGCTCCTTCCCCATCATAGAGGTGACATTCCATGTCCCAAGAGCTAGCTTCTGCAGCCAAGGATCGGACCGCCAAGGCCCCCGCCTTTGGCCACTGCCCAGCTCACTTCGCACCCGACCCCTATGGCCCCTCCTATAGGTGGTGAGCCCATTGGAGGGGGGACCCACATGCCTTGTTCGGGCTGTGCCCGACCAGGCCCCATAAGTACAGGCCTGGCCACCAAGCGCTTGCCATCAAGCCCCACCCCCAGGCCTGGCTCCGAGGGGGGGGGCCTGGTGACCCGCGTCCGGGCAAGGGAAAACGTGGTTCCACTTTTTTATTCATCATGCACTTCGTCTGGTTCCTCACTCAGGACCTGTTTGCCTTGGGTGACCCTACCAGGGGCATAAAGCCCCGGGCAACTTAGCTCCTGGGATCATTGGAACACGCAAAACGCTCCACCACGATAAAGTGTCGGCTCCAGGAGAGGTAAAACATTTTAATATTAAAATAATTAATAAGAAATCTTTATTTTTAAATGTATTTTATTATATAATAATAATTACTGTTACTGTCTATCATTGTCTAAAGGTATTTTTACTGTCTAAATATATATATTCAGCTAGTGTAAACATGCATGATGTTTCCGTTGAGAAATGTGATGCGTGACTCATTTCCCCGCGCGTACAAGTTATCTTAGGTCGGCGTTCACGGTTCGACTTCTGAGATTCAGATTGAGTTCTAGATAATTTTTTTTGAACTGGTTGGTTCGACTTTTAAGAAATTTGAGTTTTAATGAGTTTGAGAACTGAGGTTTGTTGAGTCTGTTGGCATCCGCTACCCTCAGCCTGCTGCCCCAGCATGCAACAGCGTAGAGTGTGAGACTGGCCACAACAGACTCATAGAAAATCCTGAGAATTGTCTGACACATGTTAAAAGACCTCAACCGCCTCAGAAAATAGAGGCGGCTCTGGCCCTTCTTGCGCAGTGCAGTTGTATTTTTAACCCAGTTTAATCCAGTTTATTATCAATGTACTGTATACTCCAAGGTATTTGTAGTCCTCCACTATGTCCACATTGACCCCTTGGATTGAAACTGGTTTTCTGGTCCTCAATCATTTCCTTGGTCTTTGTCACATTCAGCTGCAGATAACTCTGTTTGCACCACGTGACAAAGGAATCCACCACAGCCCGGTACTCCGTCTCATCACCTCCACTGATGGATCCAACCACCGCAGAGTCATCAGAAAACTTCTGAAGATGGCGAGTTTCTGTGCAGTGGCTGAAGTCCGTAGTGTAGATGGTGAATAGGAAAGGAGAGAGGACGGTCCCTTGTGGTGCCCCGGTGGTGCTGACCACCTTGTTAGTCACACAGCATTTAAGACACACATATTGTGGTCTTTCTGTCAGGTAATCTACAATCCAGGACACTAGAGAGGCATCCACCTACATCGCAGTCAGCTTCTCACCCAGGAGAGTTGGCCTGATGGTATTGAATGCACTGGAAAAGTCAAAGAACGTGACCCTCACAGTGCTCGCCAGCCGGTCCAGGTGGGTGTAGACACGATTGAGCAGGTAGATGATGGCGTCCTCGGCTCCAAGGCGGGGTTGGTAAGCAAACTGAAAGGGGGCCAGATGTGATCTGACCATAGGACGGAGCTGGTCGAGGATGAGTCTTTCCAGGGTACTGGGATGTAGCACCTTTGATACCGGAACGAGTAATGATGTCTTCCACTGCACTGGGACCCTCTGCAGAATCAGGCTCATCAGAAAGAGTTTTTGAAAAACTCCACAAAGCTGGGGGGCACAGGCCTTGCGGACATGGGGACTGACCCCATCTGGTCCTGCGGACTTGCCTGAGTGAAGTCTTCTCATTTTTCTCTGAACTTGGTCGTAAGTGAAAGTGACAGGTGGGAGAGGGGTGTCAGGTCCTTCACAGGAGAAGGAGAGATAAGGAGAGAGAGTGGCGTGGCTGTGGATTGTAGGTTGACTGCAGATAAGTGAGAAGGGTCGAAGGCATTAACTGCAGAGTCGAATCTGTTGAAAAACAAATTCAACTCATTGGCTCTGTCCTCACCGCCCTCAGCCCCTCTGCTGCTGGATGGCCTGTGATGTTCTTCATGCCTCTCCATACCTCTCTCATGCTCTTCTGCTGGAGTTTCCACTCAAGCTTTCTCCTATAGTTGTCTCTCTGATCTTACCCCTCAGTAATTCCTGAACCATTCTCACCTCCTCTCTATTGCCCTCTCTGAAGGCCGCCTTCTTGTCGTTGAGGAGTGCTTTGATGTCTTTAGTTAACCATGGCTTGTTATTTGCATAACAATGGACAGTCCAAGCAGGGACAATAGAGTCGGTGCAGAACGCTATGTAATCAGCCCATTGATGTCCTCACCACAAAGTGCCTGCCAGTCTGTCACCTCAAAGCAGCCCTGTAGTTCCTGTAGTACAAATAAGTCCATTTGTGAAAGTTCTTCAATACTAAATATTCCACGGTCAGCTGTTAGTGGTATTATAACAAAGAGGAAGTAACTGAGAACAACAGCCACAAAGTGGTAGGTCACATAAAATCAGAGCGGGGACAAGGCATGCTGAGGTGCACAGTGTGCAGAAGTCGCCAACTGTCTGCAGAGTCAATAGCTACAGACCTGCAAACTTCATGTGGCCTTCAGATTAGCTCAAGAACAGTGCGTAGAGAACTTCATGGAATGGGTTTCCATGGCAGAGCAGCTGCATCCAAGCTTTGCATCACCAAGTGCAGTGCAAAGCGTCAGATGCAGTGGTGTAAAGCACACCGCCACTGGACTCTAGAGCAGTGGAGACGTGTTCTCTGGAGTGATAAATCATGCTTCTCTGTCTGGCAATCCGATGGACGAGTCTGGGATTGGCGGTTGCCAGGAGAACGGTACTCGCCTGACTGCATTGTGCCAAGTGTAAAGTTTGGTGGAGGGGGGATTATGGTGTGGGGTTGTTTTTCAGGGCTTGGCCCCTTAGTTCCAGGGGTGGCATGGTGGCGCAGTGGTTAGTGCTGTTGCTTCACAGCAAGAAGGGCCTGGGTCCGGTCCTGGGTCCTTTCTTTGCGGAGTTCGCACACTCTCCCCGTGTTCATGTGGGTTTTCACCGGGGGGTCTGGTTTCATCCCACAGTCCAAAAGTGTGCAGGACAGGTTGATTGATGAGTGTAAACTGGCCCTGTGTGAGTGTGTGTGCCCAGCGGTGTGTTGGTGCCTGACAGGGGTTGGTTCCTGTGGGACCAGTTTGAGGATGGCCCTTCCTG